CTACGTTGACTACGTTGACTACCTCGCTACCAACTGGCGTTACTTACCTGTTATGTTGTACTGCTATCTACCAAGTCAGGTACTTAAGGCAATCCATGGGCAGGTCGAACTGATAGGGCCTAGGCCAGGGGATGGGGCCCCATGGAAAAAAGATGGATGAAATGATGCAGTCGCAGACGGGGAAGCGGATCATTAGAGGACGTGCATTCTCCTTGGTGGAGGGGCCACTGAGGAACCAGGCGTATACTGACCGGTGTTGCAAGGAGGCTGCTTGGATTACAGGATTTGCTGCAAAGGTGTGATTTGATAGACATGAGATATGTCGCTCTCAATGAAAACGACAGTGGAGGGGGGGTGAAATGTGGCGTCGCCTGCAGCACAATTTGATGTGGCTGGCAAGCACATCGATTGGGATGATTGATTGATTGATTGATAGTGAGATAGAACTAGCACCTGTAAGTATAATCGTTTTAAGAAGGTCTCTGATAAGCTTCGAATTGCATCTGGAGCTCAAGCACGATACCTAAATGACTTGCTGGAAATTTATTGATAAGTGGAACATATCGAGATGGACAGACCGCCACGGTAGCGGAGTTGGATGGGGGTCCACTGAGAAGACCCTGATTACTGATTACGACCTTACTATGTAGTAGTTGGGGGTGATTGAAGAACCTGGAACGATTTCCTACAGACAAGAGTCAAGAGTGCCTGGGAAGAGAAGGTCTCGTGCTTGCTTGTAGACCATACCTACCATACCATACCATACCATACCATGGGGCTGTACTGTGAGTCAAAGGAAGGATATAAAGGCCATGATGGCCTCATCTCAACAAATACCAGTAACCATCCGCAGATGCGTCACTATCGCAGCGGCCCACGCCTTCCCCTATCGACCCTGGAGCGCGGCAGGTTAGCGTTAAAAATCGTTTTACTCTCCGCAATGATGGACATCGACGGCGTCACGCTCGTTGGGCTGGACACTCTGAGAGCGGGGACCGGAACCGGCACCTGGTACGCTCCGTTTGCTAACCTGAACAAAAGAGTCAATGGGCACAAGACCAACCTTTTCTAGGTAACTACCTAGGTACCAAGTAGTCCTCCGCCACAGTAATAAACGTTATTTCCTGAAGGGTGAAGATATTCAAATGTTAAGAGCCGTAATAACCTATCATTAAGATCTCGGAAGGTTCTGTTTACTACTATACCTATGTAGGTCTATCAACTTTTTAGAAAGACAGTAATCACTTGTCGAGGAGGTGGATAATAAATACCCTTGCCGGACTAACGTTAACGTTTATTACGCTGGGGGAGGAGCAAAACAACGGTATACTATGGTAGTGCTCCGGTGAGGTACCTTTGCCTATATCGAGTGTTCACCTCTTCCAAACGCTTTTATCCTCGCCTGTCGTCTCTTCATCCCGAAGATGATGGATGAGGTGATTCGCACAGGCCGACCACCGGATCGCCCGTGCCGCGTAATTCGGGGGCTTGTAGGGGGAAGTGAAGAGTCACTTTTCTCACCAGCGATAAACTATGGTATAGTAGTATACCTATACTTACAGGCTACGCAGCACTTCCGCAAGTGTGTCTCTGCCGTGTGGTTGGTACCAAGTCCCCTGCCCAGAAGACGCTAAGCTGTTTCCTGGAGTGCTGCCCTATAGGAAAGCCAGCCTGCCCTCGCTGCCCTACCCTTACCCAGTCTGCGCCAGTCTCAGGCTGCCTAACTAAAATTTAGTCTCCCTCGCCTCTCATTCGCCTCTGCCACCCTCCTGGCATGTCCGTCCCATCTGTCTCTCTCTTAATAGTAAGTAATCCACCGGCCGCCTACCAACTACCTTAGGTACCTAGCGTGCCTAGTACTGGGCCACACTGACTGTCGCTGTTTCCCGCCATTTTCTGGAAAGCCTCGAACACAGCGCACGCACGCACGCACCCTGGACCGATATACCGCATATTCTTCCTGTCCTCTCTCGACACCTCCTTTCCGCTGCACCGCTGCACCATTGCACGACTGCGCGCCTCCCCTCCGGATCCCCGCGACCGACTGCGTTTCCCCTGGGTTCATTTGCATCTCCGCTCCTTCAAGCCTATTTGCAAAAACATGAACCTTTGAGTGGTGTCGATTCGACTGCGAAATCGCCGTCTTCTTTGGCCAAACGGTCTGTTCACCGTCCAGCCCACGCCAATCTTTTGCGGCCGTCTCAACTCCTCAATCCGCACGACACTGCCCACCGCCAAACGACCACCACGATTTGCACTGAGCCTCAAAGGCACCTCCTCGCGACACAAAATCGACGGGAATCGAAACACTAGAACTGTCCCTTGCTGGTCATGCCGATTCCTGGTAACGGCACGACCAGTCCCCTGATCGCCGAACCAGGAATGTCCTCCTCAACAGTTTTCAACACCGAGTACGACCTGTTCGATTCCGACGACGGCCTCGGTGGCTCTCCCTTGCCCTTCATCGACTTCATCAACACAGATTCCGACGCTCTCCAGTCTTTTGAGGCGTCTAGGACCGGAGATCCTAAGGCGCTTCTCGCTCCAAAACCGCACAGCTCCGCACAGCCTGCCGGTGCCACCCCGGAATCCCTCAACGCGTCATTCCAGGACTCGGCGTCGGATTCTTCGTCTTCCAAGAGGACCGGCAGCTCCTCCTCCACAAAGACCGGCATCACGAGTGGGGACGTGATGATGACCGATGGATTGGACCTCAAGGCCGAGGCAGACTGGAACCCCGAGAATTTTGTAAATGGAAACGAGAATGACTTCCTCGCCTTTGACGGCACAATTGATCCCTCGTCAATTGATGGCACATTCAACTTCAGCGACAGAGGCATGGAAAATGCTTTTGATTTCGGGAGTCCTTCGAACAGCCCGAGCCCGTTTGCTACGGGGACGATAGATGGTGCATCCCCGCAGACACAGGCGACCTTCACCAACTCGTCGATCAAGGGCTCACCCGCTGCTGCAAAGTCACCCGCCCGTGGCCATAATAAGGCCTTCTCAGTAAGGTCCCCTAGATCCCATTGAATCACGGTCAGACCGTCTAACATTATGGATAGCAATACTCATTGACACAATCTATGAATGGTCTAAGAACTAACGGCTCGAGGGAAGTCTCTCCGACGTCACACATGGTTTTCAGCCAGGACTCCTCACCTTCTGCAATGTTCAATAATTCACCATCACCCAGTCAGAATGCGGACTTTGCCAATGGCCTTGCACTCGGCGTGCCACATGGCAATGCAATGTGGGCGCAGGGAATGAAGATGCCCACAAGCCCTCTTCAGCATGGAGGGTCAATTCAGGGCGCCTTGAACGTAGCAGCACCTGCTGCAATTCCTGCCGCGATGCCGTATCCGCTATTCCAGCAACCATCATATCCCTCTAATCCGCAGCTAATTATAAGCCCGATCCCTCCAAAGTCGCGTGTGGAGACACAGATTCCTATCCGGATGGGCCTCTTCCCACTACCTCCAGGCATCAAACGGCTACACCTGCCCACGCACACAATTTCCAAGCCGAAGCTACTTGCTAAACCGAGACCCGATCCGTCTGCAGACTTGCTTGAGCTTCACACGACCTTGGTCTGCACCAGTGCGATGCAGAACCCTGAAATGAAAAAGAAGGCTTTGGCTCGAGCGGCGGCAAATGCACCTCCATTCGCAGCCGATTCCAGATCAAACGAAGGTGCCTCGGATGACGACGAAAAGCCTCAGAGCGGCGGGGAAGTTGGTATTTGCGATGGCTGCATGATGCGTGAACGTAAAAGAGCAGCCCGAAAGAAGGCTAAGAAGCCGGAGGAGGAGGAGAGCTGGTTGAAGGATGAACGCAAGAGGGTTATTGTCTTCAACACCCAGGAGATCAAGGAGTGGCAGGCACCAACCGCTATCGTGCCCAACACCAACCCCCCGGAGCAGTTCATCACGAATGGCGCCATGCAGATCGATGCGCCCATGAGAATCGCTTGTTACTGCCGGCACCATGGCGAGAAGTCTGGCTTTCAGGTTATCTTTACTATCAAGGACTGGCGCGGCCAACTCATTGCACAGGCGCTATCGCCTTCTATCATGATCACCGATGATCACAAGACACATACGGTCACTAATCAGAGTTCGGCCAATACTTCAGAGACGTCCTTGATGCCTCCAACGGCCGCAACAGCTGCGGAGACGAATGGGCTCAGCCCACCTGGGCAGCCATTCCGCCTTTCCCACTCGGTATCCGATCTCCAGAGCATGAAACGCAATGCCTCCGCTACATTCCCTCAAACTGTATCTGGGAATCCATCTCAGGCGACATCCGCGGTCCCGACCCCCCGGAACCTCTCTCGACCGGCTTCGCCCTCTGGAAATGGTCCTTCTTCAAAGAAGCGCAAGTCTAGCGGGTCTGCAAAGGTCCCAAGCGGTCTTGCAATGACCCGCCTTGAGACGGCAAACCTCTCCAATCCTCAGGCCAACCAAGCGCAGCTAGGCTTGTCCGCAGCAACATCTCCATTCTCGCCGAGCATGACATCCTTTCCCAGTGGGACAGCTGACGGGGTATTTGTCCAACCGAATCTTCCTCAGCCATTCCCAACCGGGCCGCCAACGCCCAATGATCATGATCAGGTGCTTTTCAATCCTAACAATGATCGGGCTACGAGCATGAATGATATCACGATGGCTCAACTATATTCGGCGCCTGCTTCTGCTCATCCAAGCCGCGCACCCAGCCCCAATGGTTTGAGAAATGGTGCCATGCCACAACAACAGCAGACGCAATTCAACCATGCTCTGACCAGTGGGCTCTTTGCATCTGCTGGTGCCACTGCCACCCGAGTTCCACCTTCAGTAATTCACAAAGTCATTCCTAACGAGGGACCTATTTCTGGGGGTGTTGAAGTGACTATCTTGGGAGAGGGATTCTATCAGGGCCTTGAGGTCATGTTTGGTGACCGCAGAGCAACAACGACTACCTTCTGGGGAGAGACATCACTCGTATGTCTTCTACCGCCAGCGTCAATTGCTGGGCCAGTCCTTGTTTCACTGAAATCCCAGAACGCTCGACCATCCAATCCATATACCTCTTCAAAGCAGCATCCCATCTTCAACTATACGGACGACTACGAGAATCAATTGATCCGTACTGCCTTAACAGTGATGAGCGCTAAGATGACTGGTAAAATTGAAGACGCTCGCGAAATTGCACGACGGTTGCAGATGCCTGGCGGCGGCTCCTCAGGCGGCAATGATTACAATGGCAATGGCGGCAGCAGTGGCAATACTTACAATGTCAACTTCGAGACTCAGCTACTGAAGGTTCTAGAATTCCTTGATCTGGACGATAGCACAAACAAGGCACGACTCAACCTGAGGAGAAAGTCAGGTCATGCTATGCTTCATCTGGCTTGCGCCTTGGGATTGCACCGTTTCGTAGCAGGACTGCTAGCACGCGGCGCCAACCCTGATGTCAAGGATAAGGGAGGTTTCACGCCATTGCATTTCGCCTCGTTGAATGATCAACCAGAGATTGTGCGCCGTCTCATCTATGCTGGTGCGGATCCTACACTCCGATCCATCAATGGACTTACTGCCGCCGATGTTGCTCAATCGCGGGACGTGATTCGAGCCATTCGCCGTGTTGAACGGCATGTCAGGTCTCGGAGTGGTGGCTCTCTGCATAGCCGTGCAAGCAGTGCTACTTCCCTCCGATCTCTCTGGGAGCCACCATCGGCGCCAGTAGCATCTGTCGAATTCTCTACAGAAGAATCAGAGTCCGCTGGAGAGAGCCCAGAGTACACTTCTGGAGATTTCAATTCAGAAGAGGATGATCTCGCCGCGGATGGTAGTGCTTGGCTGGAATTGAGACGAAGCAGCACTCGAGGCAGTGTGCACAGCCCCATTGCTCAAGATGGCGGTCGTACTCCTCTCCATGTCACCAACGCTGATGTTCCTGGTGGCCTCGCTTCTCCAACCGCAGCCATGACAGCTTTCCGCGATCAGGTCGCGGCACAGATTCATCAGTTCCAGCAGTCAATGGCTTTGCAGCTACAGAACCTGCCACATTTCCCGTACTTCAGCCAAATGCCGAACATGCCACCAATGCCAGATTACCAGGCCTATCTGAACTCGGCGCCACCGGTGCTTCAACGCATGACGTCTTTCTTACCTAATATGGGAGGCTCTCGCCCTGGGTCCGCAGGCGAGCAGCCGCAATCAAAGGAGATGGAGGGCAGATGGTGGGGTGTATCCTCTCTCATGCCCACTTCATCAGCGCCACCTCCGTCCTACGATGAGATCTTCCCTCAGCAAGATCTAGACAAGAAGCAGTCCTCGGCTGCTCAAGCAGCTGCGGAGGCTGAGGCCGATAGCAAGTGTGCAACTCTGTATGACCAACCCAGCACGTCTAGCGCGCCTGTTCAGCAGTTACCCAAACTGTTGCAGATTGGCCGCAAGAACGCTATCACCAAGGAACAACAAGACAACCTGCGTCGAGCACATGCCGAGAATCTGAAGAGGTTGAGCAGAGACCGAAACCTCTTCTTTATCTGGGTGAGTGATATTCTCTACTATTTCTGCTTAGATTCCTTACTTACCAGGATTCGCAGATCCCGCTGCTCGTCATGATTATGTGCTCTATGCTATATAGTCGCTTCCCGGGAGCATTCTCAGCTGTGTTCAGTTTCTTGCCGTCTTTCACTTCCAACACTCAGGCTCTTCAGACTATCCCAGAGCGGGTAGTCGAGATTGCCTAAAACTAACGCATTCACTTCACTCATACTATTCGTTACGAACACAATTGCATCGTTCAATCTACGGCAATATCAGCCCCTATATATTTATATCATTTACGATCTGACTGTCACTGGGATCCATATATTGGATTCTTTGTATGGATATAATTAACATGTGGACCGCAAGCTGACGCTGCGAACCAATGACGGAAAATGGCAGGCTACGACGATGACAGGCTAGGAGCTGAGCGTTTTATTTACTTTGAATTAGAGAAGGATGACCCGCGCCGCCATCATTTGCTTTCATGTACATATAGGCTTCATTTAGTGCCTGTTAGGAAGGGACTTTTCGCTAGGGAGAATAGCGATCGCGCTGGTTGTTGTGTTGCTTTTACGGATCACAGGACAGGACAGGACAAGGACAAGATCATCGTCAATCATCAGACGGATGAACATTTTGCGGGATTTGCGTCGAGAGACAGAATATGATTTACATAGGTAGTCAGCCACGTGCCCAGAAGCTGCTCGGGAGGACCCCGAGACTGGCGCGCGGCGAGAACTAAGCAGCTATTCCTACCAAGATAATAACGCCCCCTTTTTTGAAGAAGTGCTGTGTATCAATACAATTGTAGTGCTAAAGTGTGTGCCATACGTAGCCAGTCCCTTTTCCGTATATACGGGGCCCCTTTTTTTGCGTACTTGCAAGCATGACAAGCCGTCGTCGAGCAACTTGTGAAAGAGACAGGCCCGTAGGATCGCCGAATCGATATCGACGTTGTTCCCCATAGCGACTCCCCGTAGTAGACAGAAAACCAGAAAGCCGACCCGTCCGTCATGTTGCTCGTCCGACACGTTTCGTTGTTCGTTTCCATTTTGCGTTGTGTTGCATTGCGTCATTTCATGTGTCATTTGCTACGTTGCAGAGGTCATCATCACGGGGAGTCATAACATAGAGCCCGCCCCGGTCGTAATGCGGGAGTACTCCACCACCACGACCGCCTCCGAGATAGGGGCACGCGCGGGAGACTCCTGGTGTTCCGCCCCAGGGCGCGCACGAGCCGGTTCCTTCAGCCGTACCGCACGCCTTGTCCCCACGCCTGTCTGCTGTTCTCGTCGTTCGACTCGCGGCCCGCTCCCTCCGCCTTGAACTGCGCCGGGATCCGGGGGATCTGCGGGATGCCGCGGTTCGCGTCCGGGACAACAGACAGGGGCAGCCCGGGCCGCATCCTCTGCGGGTAGTGGAAGCTC